TTTTGGTGCAGGGGATTGAACTCGGGTCCTTGCGCTTGCAAGGCAGGCCACCGAACCGCTGAGCTAAATCCCCGGCTTTTTTATGTCCTCCAGCTATGTGGCAACTATTGCCGCCCTTGTCCTTCCCCCTTGATTACTGCAAAGTTGGCTCCACATGCCCAGGCTCTGCCTCTCCCACTTTAATCTTCCGGCGACCCCGTCCTGGTTTCCTGAGTAGACCTTTGGGTCCCTTCCAATTCTAAGCATCTTTTTTGCCAAATAGGGCACAATAGATAAAACTTCTGCCGGCCCTTCGAGTTTTCTATTCTTTCCTTCAAGAAACTTGCCTCCCAGGAGTTACAGCCAGTCTGGATGAGGTCCCTTCCAAGGCTTCACCTACTCAGCAGTACACACCAGTCCAGGCTCTCTAGCACTGGGCCAGATCCATTCCATACCAGCATTGGCTGTTCAAATGCAGTTCCTGAGCCCACCCATCCCCACATTGCGGGGCTCTTTCAGGTCAAGCTCCCTAAATGTCCTATTTGGGGGACCCCCCCAAAAGCAGGGGCACCTCCATTGCTACACCAAGAGTGATCCGCTGCTTATTACTAGGACTGTGCTTACTCTGTTTCTCACTCCCTAGCAATGTCTACCAAATGCAGACCCTCTGGGGTTGTTATACACTGGTGGCTGTGCTGGGAAGCAGCTAGAAGGTAGATTTTGAAGGTTTGAGGATGCTAAGTAAAGTTTAAGGTTTTAAAATAAAAATTTTGATCTCCCCCTTTTCAAACACTTTTAGGAGCCAGTTCTAACTGGTCCAAGCTGCCACTACCTCTCTTCAGTAAAGCGGTTATTGTGCTGATAGATGCCTTGCGAGATGATTTTGTGTTTGGATCAAAGGGTGCAAGGTATATGCCTTTTACAACTTATCTCGTGGGAAAAGGTCCATCTCACAGTTTTGTGGCTGAAGCAAAGCCACCCACAGTTACTATGCCTCGAATCAAGGTAAGTTTGACTTGATGTTTTATGAATCATGGTTTGCTTCTTTCAGAAGTTTAGGGGGATTCTGTAGTCTTATACTTGGAGTTTCAGTTTCAACTGAGTGGAAATTAGTTTGATGTTGTCAGTTTTGTTAGGGTAGAAGAATGCTGAGGGAGCCTTAGAGACAGAATGGAACTGAGACCCATGATTTGTGCCTCTTGTCAAGAGTCCAGAGCACATGCTTCATAGGAAGTAGAAAGGATTCAGGGCCAGATCATCTAGGCCAGCCCAACCAAGGAAATTACTCTGTTTTTCAATCATCAGTGGGTTAGTTACAACCCTAGAAAGAACATTAAGTCATCCAGTCAAGTCTTTTGATTTTATACATAAGAAAGCAGACTCTGACAAATTGTTTAACTTGCCCAGAATTGCAGTATGTCACAAGAAGTGATATGATTGTGTACTCTTAAACACTGTGGATGTGTCAGTAATGTGGGCCACCATCTCCACTGCCAGCTCCTTAGTCCTGGTGCTATGGTGTAGCTGGGAACACAGATGTCTCCCATAGCTCCTCCTGCCTAGGTCAGGGCCAGCCTAAGTCTGACCACCCTACTGCTGTTATACACCCTTTGTGCGGTGACCAAGTGTGATGGCACACTTCTGTAAGCTCAGCTACGTGGGAGACTTAGGTGGGAGTATCTTAAATTCAAGTCTTACCTGGATAACTTGGTAAGGTCCTCTCTAAAAATTGAAAAAAAAAAAATTAAAAAGGGGCTGGTTGGTGGTAAAGTACACTAGGTTTCATACCCAGTACCGCAAAACGGAACACCTTCCCATTTCTTTGCTTCAACCCATTTTGAACACAGACTCCTGAGGTTCTGTGTAGTTCTGCTCCTGCTCTTCCACCTCATCTCAGCCACTCTCCTGTGCCTTTCTTCCATGCAGGCCCTGTCTGGTATAGGTCCTTATGGGCACTCTTTTCTGCCCTGGGTCTGTGCAATTGGCCGTCTTTCCCTGGACAGCCCTGCCTTGTGTCTATAACTCCTCAGCCTTCAGATCTCAAGTAAAACGGCAATCCCAGAGGAAGCTTCTCAAGACCACTAAGATGGTCTTGGTAAAATATATTTTGCATCTACACATTGGAGAACTTTGACACTGTTAGAATAAAATATCAGTATGTTCCTGGGAAAACAGGTTCATATTTTGTTAATTTAAAAATGAGGTTGCCAAATAATTTTGTATAAAAAAGTATGCTTTATATATTTGTGATTATGTACATACAGAAAAGAGTAAAAGGATACCCACCAAAAGTTTCTGTGTTACCTGTAAGGAGTAGAATTTGGGGATGAGAGAGACTCATTATTTTCTTTGGTGGTAATAGTGGTTCTGGGATTGAATCTAGGATCTTTATACTGAGCCACATCCCTAGCTACTTTATTTTATTTATTTAATTTTAATTTTTTTTTTTTTAGGCAGTCTCACTAAGTTTCCCAAGCCAAACCCAAATTTGGAATCCTCCTGCCTCAGTCTCTCAGAATACTATCTTTTTCTTTCTTTTTTTTTTTGGTAGTACATGTTTGTACTTAATTGCGTAAGTTACTTCCTCTTTGCTGGGATAAAATACCCAATACCCACAAGTTAAAGGAGGAGAGGTTGATTTTAGCTCACAGTTTGTAGAGGTTTCCAGTACATAGTTAGCTGTCTTCAAGGCAGGGTGGTATGACAGAGGGGCCTGGTAGAGGAAAAACAGTGCATGGCAGGTCAGGCAGAAAAAAGCAGGAGCAGCAAGCCTCCTCTTCCTTTTTTTTCTATTCAGGATACAAGCCTGTTGGTTGGTCCCACTCACACTCAGAGTGGGGCTTCTGGGGCTTCTGTTTTCAATAAATTTGTTCAGCCACACCCAGAACTATGCCAGTCCAGTCAGTGGACTAATCTAGCTACCACACCATGATTCCCAAAAGCCCCACCTGGGAGCACATAAGGATTTGGGGGGCTTTTTTGTTGTTGTTGTTGTTCTAGGGATCAAACTCAGGACGTTACACTTGCAAGGCAGGCAGGGCAGCACCCCTGAGCTAAATCCCCGGCCCTGGGGGACCTTTTAGATATAAATCATAACAATAATGTTTACACCCTTGTAAGTGGTACATGGCCATTACATATTTTAATTTTTTTATCCCTTTCCCCTTTTCTCCCTCCCCCTCTATCCAACTCTTTATTGCGACCCCAGTTGTGGGTCTTTACCTCCTGCAAGGCAATACAGCGCAAGCTAAAAGGAACAAAAGAAAGACATAGAAACAAGACTTAAAGAGAAAGCTGGGTCATGGCTGGTCCAAGCTGCTCTGGGCAACAAAGACAAAAGGCACCAAAGATGTCCAGTATTTATTGATTACAAGTGTGGGAAGGAGAGCAGGGTGTGCTTTGACATCTCGCGATGGAGTGTGAGCCATCTGGTGATAGCATAAATCACAGGCAAGGCTATAAAAGGGGGTGCACTGCTTTATCTTGCTGGAGAGAACATATGGGTACCGGGCGTGGGCTGTAATTAACCAGCAAGTATCAGGTCAATAGGGCAAGCTATAATTCAGGGGAAAAGAATTTAACTGGGGTCAAGCTGATCTCTGTTGGACGATAACTCAGCAGAGTCCTGCCACTTTACAGACCAGGATTTAGGTCTCCATGGCAGCCACTGGCAGAGGAGCTGTGCTCCAGCTGTGCCATCTGACGTGCTCATGTGAGTCACATAGGCTTCAATTGAACTTCTAATATACAGCTGAATTATGGGGAAGCAAGAAGTTTGTGCCACTCACAGCCTGCTAGTATTGGTCAGGGATGTCTTCTACATCTCGATTTCCTTCTTTTTCTTTGTCTTCTTTTTTTTGTTTTGGCACATGTTTGCAATATATAATATTTACATTTCTTGTCTGAAATTAGTACATGTACACTGAGTATCATTTTAAAGTAATTTTTGAGATAATTTTCAAAAATACATACAGAACACATACTTTTATGTGTATAGTTTGATGAGGTTTCACAAGTAAGTGTATCCAAGCAATGCTACTTCAACTCTGATTCTGATCCCCCACTCTAGGAATGGTGGTAGTTGTTGCTGTTTTTGTACAGTAATTTGCCTGAACTAATCAGTGGAGTTCGTTTCCTCCTAGTATATACAAAATAATGTCTCTGCTTAGTTTTTTTTTTTCTAATTCTAGTTTTTATTTTATTTTCAAGCCAGTCTCCTGAGGGTTGTCTCAGCTTAGTCAGTGATGGGCTAAGGTTGAACTTGGGTATGGGTATGCTGTAAGCCTGCACCCCTCCCAGGAAAGCATGTAGGTTGAGATACATATTCACTGTCAGGCAGGTTTTCAGCCTGTCCTGACCTTCAGTTTGTTTAAGCAGGGCCTCCTGCTCAGCCAAAGGAGCAGGTCACAGGGGCCCTCTGCAGATACGCAGAAGTTTGTGGGACTTTACAAAACTCAACTGTAGCTTGCTCCTTTCTCACGGTCCCTTTTTTTTTTTTTGTCTGTACCGGGGATCAGACTCAGGACCTTGTGCTTTCGAGGCAGGCGTAGTGCCACTGAGCTAAATCCCCAGCCCCTCTCTCAGTTCCTTCCTAAACTTTGGGCTGGTCTCTTGCTTGCCAACAGCATTGGAACACCCAGCAAATGTGACACTGGCCTTCGCTCTTATGTTTTCACACCCTCCGTGTGCATGGGGCCTTTCCCCGGAGTGCATAGCAGGCAGGCCCTCCATGGATGTCAGGTCACAGAGCTGGGTGGGGAGAAATCGGGAGCAACCCTATGGCGGACACCACAGCTCCAATATTTTTTTCTTGAATAAGCACTTGTCAATTTGCTACATAATTTTAGTGAATTTCAAAATTCTGAAATGGTTGATTTTGGGAGCTTTGTCAAGTTTTTTGTTGCTCTTTGGGGAGAAGATTTGCCAAGCTCCTCACTGTGGCATTCCAGAAGTCTGGCCAATTCATGTTTGCATCCCTTTGACTGGGGATGTAGCTCAATGATAGACTACTTGCCCAGCATATATAAAACCCTGAGTTTCATCCCCAGCATTGTAAAGAAGTGTGCACCATTGAGGAAGTCGTGCAGAATTATTATACCAAGTCCCAGATATTGTGCATGGTTGTAGAACTCCAAATTACAGAGAGCCGTTACTATGGGCTTTTAGGTTCTGTGCTAAAACTGGGAAGGTTATTCTATCAATTCTGTGTCAAAAAGACAGTAGGCCATATCACACCCATGTTCTCCTAGAAAGTATGGTGCAGCACTGGAGGTGGGGGCTGAGGAACGTCCCACCAACATCCCTGGCCTGGCTTACCTTGGGAACCTTTGGGAGTCGTGCAGAGAGGCAGCTTTTCTCCTACTTTCTACTCAGAGGTGGGCACCAGACTTTCTAGATGGTTACTTCGTAGTTTATTAGAATAAAGGAGTTTGCTTGTCACCTGTAGCAGATCTGAATATTAAATGGGAGCCATCTGAGTATACCGGTTCATGTTTTCAGCGCATGCCCTATCTTATCCATTTGCCTCAACTCTGTCACTGACCAGCAGCTTCTCTGGCTACCACCATTGTTAACTATTCCTAGCATCCTCCTTTATCCTCTGCTCTACTGAAAGCATTGCCTAAGTTTTTAAATATGCTTCATCTTTATTATTGAGTTGGCTTTTTTGTAGAGAGTTTATGTGCTTTCCCCACCCTAGATACTGTCCTGGCCCTGGCTTGCCCTCCAGGATTGGGCCTGCACTGGTTTTGTACCCACTCATTTCACCTTTCAAATGATCTTTCTGCCCCTGGTGCTGCACTTTTCGGTTCCATGGCCTGACTCTTGGATGTTCCTTCTTGCAGGCATTGATGACAGGGAGCCTCCCTGGTTTTGTTGATGTCATCAGAAACCTCAATTCTCCTGCCCTGCTGGAAGACAACGTGATAAGACAGGCAAAAGCAGCTGGGAAGAGAATGATCTTTTATGGAGATGAAACGTGGGTTAAGTTATTTCCAAAGCATTTTGTGGAATATGATGGAACAACCTCATTTTTTGTGTCAGATTATACAGAGGTCAGTTTTTTAAAATAAGAAAAATATATCACCATAGATGGAGTTGGGTACTGCCCACTACCTAGTAGTGAGAGATGATGTTATTTTGTGTGTGGCATTTATTAATTTATAAAGTAGTAGTAAAAGAGATTATAAGCATTTACCACCAGGAATGTAAACCCTGACAGATGCGAGCAATGGCCTATGGTCCCCAAAGTGCAGGGCGGCTGGGCAGCCATTGAGGACACCAAGGATCAGGAAGAGTGCTGCACAGAGGTACTCTTGGGCCCGGGTCTAATGGGAATGTGGGATCTTCCAGGTGAACAGAATAGGCAGAGAAGCTCCTGATGCAGCAGAGCTGTGGGACTCTGCCATTGGGTTCTTCAGGGGTGATGTCCTCCTTGAGGGCAGGCAGTGAGCCAGGTGGAGCCAGATCCTGCAAGGCACTGGGACTAGACCCACATGTAGAAAGGTGGTCCAGCCCTGGGCAGAGGCAGGGTGTGCCCCATGTCTGCTTGGCCTTGGGGTGACAGCCGCAGCACCCGACATGGGGGTTTAGTAAGTGTCTGTAGCCCTGACCTTTTTCCACATGGGCCCAGGTAGGCATAGCATGCACGGCTTCTCAGCTGTGACAAGTTCCCAGGTGACGGGTGGCGTTGCACCAAGTCATTTCTCTTTTCAGTCGATGGTTTAATGGATGGGCAGTGGGCAATCTGTGGTGTCAAGGCTGAGCAGGCTACTTTATCTCTCAAGGCTGCTCAGCTATAATCTTTCCATGATGTGTTTGTTTTAGAAATGAAAGCGGTTATGTGCTGTCTCTTCCCCTCCACAAGCAGCCTTCTCATAGGACTGCTGGTCACTTAACTCTGGGTGGTGCTCAGAACAGCCCTTGCTCATTTCAGTTATCTGTACAATATGTTCTGTCCACAGCCATAGGAGTAAAAGATTAAGACTAATGTTCATTTATTTCTTTCTTTGTAATGATACAGGGATTTGGTTTGTTTTGTTTGTTTTTTCAATCTCCGTAAATCCTAATACTTAAAATAAACCCCTAAATTTTTAAATAACTGTGTTAACTTTTTTCCTTGGGGAGTGAGGATCAAGAGAAATTGGACTATTTATATTTACATTTTCCCCCTTCAAAGGTGGATAATAATGTTACAAGACATTTGGAAAAAGTATTACAAAGAGGAGATTGGGATATGTTAATCCTGCACTACCTAGGGCTGGACCACATTGGCCATGTTTCGGGGCCTGAGAGCCCCCTGATTGGACGCAAGCTCCGTGAGATGGATGGTGTCCTGATGAAGATTCACACTGCGCTGCTGACAAAGGTGAGCTCGCTGTGGCAAGTGGCGCAGAACCGAACGTCCCTCCACAGGAGCAAAGCTGCCCAAGTAAACGCCACATCTGCCTGTCAGCCCGCCTCACTTCTTGCCCTGTGTGGCCACTCTGACGTGCCTAGTCTTCCCAGCAGCGGGGATCCTCCTGGGTTGCTGTTCTTAGGCGCTCAACCCCATGTTCTGGAGGCAGAGAAACGTGGTAAACAAGAAAACAGCTGTGCTTGAGAGTGGTTGTTGCCACAGGGAAACCTAGGCAGGAGGAGCAGTGCTCCATTTGAGGAGAGGCTATAACTTTAAATAACATGCGGGGAACTGTTTCCATGAGGACGTAGTGTGAGCAGATACCTAAGGAAGGAAGGAGCCAAGTGTGATCGGAGACTGTGCAGCTGGAGAGGCTGTGAGCATTGTGTGAGGCTTATTTCTTGACAAGCAGCCCTGCGCGGTCACCCTCCAAGCTCACTCTGCACACCCAGGAGCTTCACTGGTCACACGTCTCCTCAGCCCCACCACGGTTTAGCAAGATCACAGGTGCTTTTCGGTCTGGCTGCAGCTGACCCTTACTTTGCCTTGCAGGAGAGAGAGACTCTTTCACCCAATTTGCTGGTTCTTTGTGGTGACCATGGCATGTCTGAGACAGGGAGTCACGGGGCCGCCTCTGCAGAGGAAGTGAGGACACCCCTGGTGCTAGTCAGCTCTGCATTTGAGAGAAAACCTGGTGAGAGTTTAAGAACATTTAACATCTTGAAATTATAGTCCATGTTTAATTTTAAAAGCCGTGTTTTAAAACTGTATTATCTTGAAATATCCTGGATAATGTGAAATTATTAGGGGGAGAGGAGCAGTCAGGATTTGGAGCATACATCCCTTACCCTGATCTTAAAATGCACATACTTTTTGTAGGAATGTTGATTTAAATGTTACTGTCTGGTATTTGGAAATATTAAAAGAAATTGCCCTTCAGTTTACAGACATCTAAACTGTGTATACAGACTAAAGGAAACAAATATTTACAATGTTTAAAAAGTATCCATTGCATTACATAAAGCCACATACTGAATAGCAAGCATCAGGGACGCCGAGGCTCAGATGGGACTGCACCTCTGCGGAGGCACCTGGCTCACCCTGTGCTCCCTCCCTTCCTGGTAACTGCTTCACGTCCCCTGGCTTCCCCAAGGGCTTCTGTCTTCCACCTGTTGCTGACACACTTGTAGTAGGTGCGGTGATTACGGCTAAGGTGTAGCAGAGTCTAGAACATTCTTGGAGCTGGCCTCCTCACCCCACAGTCCCGGTCAGCTCCACCTGTTTGGCTTTCCTTCCGACTCTTGCTGGGCCACCGCTCCCCTGCCTCCTGCGCCGGTCTTTTCTGGACTAACTTTGTGTCATTCTACACTCGCTCCTGAGATGGCTCATCTGCTTCCGTGGCCAGAGATGCCATGAGTAGGCTGTCCTTCCTCACTGGCCACATTCTGTGTCAGCCTGACTGCTTCATCGTGAGCTGTGCCCCCACACTTGTGTGCTGCTTCTCTGCCCTCCTGCCTTGCCTCGCCCTCGTAGCTGGCTGCAGGTCTTGGAGGTCCACTTCTCATCTATATGGCCAAACTACTTCACTGTCCATGTCTTCTCCACACTCTGCCTTCCGATGTCATACTTGGCTCGGTTTGTCTTCATAGACTTATTTGTGGGATTCACATCACAGCTGTCTTCTCCCTCCATGCTGAGACATTGCCTAACACATAATAGGTGCCCAAAAGAGGTTTGCTGAATAAACAAATCTCCCACCCAGTATTGGGGAAGCTCCTCCCCTCCCCTCCCACCATGGGCGTTCTCCTCAGACATCACTGACTTTTGGGACGCAGCCTGTCCAGGAGCCCAGCCAGGCAGCTGCCCTCTGCAAGGTGTGCAGACACCGAGCCACTGCCCTGTGTCCTGCATGTGTCTGCCACCACACTGACCCAGAGAGGCCAGGGTGCCACTTGCCCATGTCATCTACCAGAAGGGCTTTGCTGAGTACCTTTGATGGGCCAGGGCTTGTGCTGGGCACCACTGGGTTAGCAGAGGAGCCAGGCGCCTTTGTCCTGAAGGAGGTCGTGGTTCAGGAAGGAAGAGACAGTTACACCAGCTCTTTCTCCATGGGAACAGAGGTTAGGGCTGTTACGTGACAGAGGTGCTGGCGCTCATCTCCGACGTGGGTATTTAGAACATCTGTGTGGTGCTGTAAGACAACCAGCCTCAGCCCTGACCATGGGATCTTTTTTGTTTTCTAAAAACAGTTGTGTTCTTTTCATCTTTCTCATTGTAGAACCAGGACTATGCACAAATATATTCGCAACGTTGAGCAACCATTGTCATAGCTTTAGGACATTTGATCCCCTCAGAAAGAAACCTCACACATTTTAGTTGTGCCCCCCCCCATCCCCTGCACTGGGCACTCTCTACTGACCCGCTTCTCCTGGGCATTCTGTGCAACTGGCACACATGACACATGAGCTTGAGATCTGCTTCCTTAGCTTAGGGTGATGTTTTTCCAGGCTCATTTAGGCTGCAGCATGCCAGTCTTTCATTCCGTTGTGTTGATGAATCATATTTATCATGTGATGCGCCACATTATTCATTGTCCATTGGTGGAAGGACGTTTAGGTTGCTTCTACTTGCTGCTGTGAATATATGTTTTTGTAAGGATGTGTGTTTTCTTCTGGTGTTGTTTCTTCCTACAACATAGCTCTAACCCCATTTCCGCCTGTTTCTGTCAAATGTGCTGTATTTCTGTATTTTGTAGCTGACAGCATAATTACATACATATGTACATAATTTTTTTTTCCTTTCTTTCTTTCCAGTACTGGGGATTGAACCCAGGGCTTTGCACATTCTAACACTGAGCTACACCCACAGCTCTTTTTATTTTACTTTGAGACAAGCTTACTAATTTGCCCATGTTGACCTCAAACTTAGGTTCCTTTTGTCTTTGCCTCCCCAGGAGCTGAAATTACAGGTGTGTTCAATACTATGCCTGGCTATGTATATACATATGGCTTTTATATTACTTTACAAATCAGTTCAGGGAAGAAATTTGCCTTTGTGCTGTCTTTTAGAATTATATATGTACCTTTGCCTTTCTTGTGGGCTCATATTACTATCTGGAGTCATTCATTATCAGCTTTAAGAACCTCTTTCACTGTATTTTATAAGGCAAGTTTGCTACCAAGTTGTTTTTCAAATCCTGATGATATCTTTTTTTGGAGCTAATTTTTTTATTTTGTTTTGTTTTTTGAGACAGGGTCTCCATTTGTAGTTCAGGCTGGTCCTGAACTCTGAACTATATAGCCCGGTCCGGCCTCGAACTCATTGCAATCTTCCTTCCTCAGCCTCCCAAATCCTGGGATTACAGGCATGAGCCACCATGCCCAGCTTTTGAGGACAGTTTTGTTTAATTTAAGTCTCCTGTTGAGCGGTCTTCCTCTGAGCTTTCAACTGCTATTCCCTGCATCTGGCCTCCATGGTTCTGATGAGAAATCAGCACTCAGCATTGTGGTTCCTGTCTTCTAACATTTTCACTGTAGCGAGCCTTTATCATTTGTGTTTATCCAACATGGAGTTCGTTGAGCCTCTTGGATTTGTAGATTAATGTTTTCATCAAGTCTGAGGATTTTCTGTTTTTCAGATGGTGTAATCATTGTTGATCTTTGTGATGCTTCCTTGTGCCATTTCAGACCTGCTTTTAAGCCCCTCTAATGAGTCTCTTTGAAGTCTTTTAGTATGACATATGACCCCTTCCCCGGAAGGAAAGGTGCCTATTTCCTGTTTGTCATACTTACCTGTAACTTTGTGTGTCTTATAATTTTTGGTGAAAACTGAAAAAGTTAAATAATGTAGCGTTTCTGGGAGTGGTGGCATGCACCAAGCAGGTGGGAGACTGAGGCAGGAGGATCACCATGAGTTCAAGACCAGCCTGAACGATTGGAGGCTGATCAGACCCCCAATCACCTGACCAAGGGTATGGTTGCAGAATTAAAGAAAACAAGACACAATCTTAATACGTAAGTGGGGGGCCCAGGACAGTCAAAAGCTCTTTTCAGTCTAGGACACTGTCTCCTAGAGCTTGCCACTATTTACTAAATATGCAGCTTCTTGAAGGGGTAAGGGGTGGTGCAGGGAACAGTGAAGTAGAGATCTCTGATGCTAGCAGGGTCCTAGCAACAAAGGAACAAGACATTTTAGCAAGAACAACTTATAGATCAATGGGAAATTTGTTTCTTCCCATGGATTAATTTTTACCTCTATATGAGTTTTCTGTACAAGTCATGCTGTCCTTAGTTGCACTATTGTCTTGCCGTTCAAGACATCTCAGCATCACAGATCGTTGAGACCTCTGTTGTAACCAGTGATGTGGGGAGTTGTTTCATGCCCACACACCAACCTCTGGCTCTTCAGGCAAACCATTGTGGGTTAATAGGCAGACTCAGACTTTTAATATGAAAAGCCAGTTTATGAATTTGCAACTTGCTCATGGTGGGCTCTATCACTGAACTACACAAACGATGTGGTACAGTGACTCTGGACACTAACCCTTTCCCCTCCAGAGCATGTTTATTCTTCTGGTGACTTGAGAACTAATCCAGTACTACAGTGGGGCTTCAAGGGCACATGCTGGGCACACACAGCCCTCTGTTGCCTTTGTTTCTGTCACATCCAGCTCTGAAGTTCTGCTAACTGCTGATTGATTCTTCTCTTTTGTTTCTGAGAGGGCAACAGCAGCAGGGGAAGATGAGAGCTGCTCGACCCCTGCCCTTGCCAGGCAGCAAGCACACCCACCCATGCAACTTTGAGAAGAGAGAGCCTTGTGTTCCTAGCTGTCCCTTGGAGTGGATTTTCTGTCCCACTGAGCTTGGAGGGGATGGGGCACAGATCACAGTTCATGTGCCATAGACTCTTGTCATTCCTAAGAAAATTTAGTAGATTTTGTTGCATGATAGTTTCTTCATTTGCTGGATGCTTTTAGACAGAGAGTATGATGGCTGATTTTTATGAAGCTTTGGAGTGTGCACTGTGATTGCACAGATGTCCCCATCCCAAAACCTCACCTCCAGATGAGAAGCACAGTTCTACGTCATTCCAGGGCCAGGGGTCTGAGAAGGGTAATGTACCTCTTCCTGGACCTCCACAAGGGCAGAGCAGGTATATTTTGTTCCCTACCTCTTGCTGTTGAAATTTAAGCTCCATAAAGGTAAGACCTTGCCTGTTTAGTCTTACAAGCCTAGAATAACACCTTGCACCATGGTTGTTTCATCAGTATCTTCTAATGGGATGTTTAAAAGATCAGATGAGGATGTGACAGTGCCAGTGGAGGTGAAGCCTGGGAGAATGATAACCAGCAATGCCTCAGGATCAAATCTATGTTACCTGTGTATACGGTACAGAATTACAGTTATTAAAACTAGTACATTGGCAGGAAGTATTAGAATTACAGGTATTAAAACTAGTACACTGGCAGGAACTGGTTATACACATCTATAGAACAAAGTCAGGAGGTCAAAATTGGATCCCAGGGTATAAGGAGATTTGATAATGGCAGCATCTCCATGGGAAAAACACAGGACATTCCGTGAGTGAAGTTAGCACACCTGGCTCGCCTAGAAGTGACACTGAATCTGTATCTTGTTCTCACCAAGTGTGTCATCTAAACCAATATCAATTCTAGACTAAAACATTTTAAACTTGTTAAAATATTTTTGGGCTGGGGATGTAGCTCATTGGTTCCACCGCCTGCCTCACAAGTGCAAGGATCCAAGTTCGATCCCTGGTACAAAAAAGATTCTTTATTATAGAAAATTTCAGACCTATAAGGGTAGCCAGAAAATATAATAAATTCCCAGTTTCACCACCCAGCTTCAACAGTGACCAGTCCAGTTATGTTGGTCTGTTCTATCTTTGTCCACACTCATTTTCTTTTTCCTTCTTTGTTCGGAAGCTGACCCCTAAAATATATGCACTTTTCCCCCCGTAATCTCTGCATTCTTATGTTTTAAAGATTGCAGTAACAACATCAATAGTGTTCAGATTTCCAGTGTTTCTTTATTTGTTTTAATTTATTTCAGTTAGGAGACAAGGAATATATATACACTGTGATGTGTTGATGTGTTTTGAGTCTCTATAAACGTCTTTTATTGTACCACAATGCATTTGTTGAAGATACCCAGTCATCTGTCCTGTGGAATCTCCATGACTATAGAGACAGCTGGGCTTTGCCAGTTGCCCTATATATTAGCCACTGGGGATCTTCTGTCCATTCTGTAAATCTATAACTCACAGCCTTGAGTGGACTCAGATCTGTCAATTTGATCTTGTCTGGTTTGTTCTGGTTCATTTTAGTCTGGTCTAATCTGGTCTGGGCAAAGCTGCATCTAACATTAGGGGCATAATATCTGACTGACTGTTTTATTGTGATATTAGCACCCGGGGTGGTCACCTTGGGCCATTAACTCAGTGGAGTTTGCAAAGAGTGATATTTTATTTCTATAATTCTTTTTTTATTACTTAGCTAATGCTTTAGTCCATTGCTGCTGCTGTAACTGAATCATAGACTAGGTAATTTATAAAGAAAATAAACTTAACTCCTACAGTTCTGAAGGCTGAAAAGTCCAAGGTCAAAGTATAGGCATTGGTGAGAGCTGCTTCCTGCTTCCAGGATGGTCCCTTAAATACTGTGCCCCCAATGAGAAGAGATGCTTTGTCCTCACATGACATGAGGTGGAAGGCAGAAAGGACTAAACTTGCCCACCACAGCCTTTTATAGTGGCATTGCCCTCATGAGCTAACTCTCCTCCTAGGACTGTTACATTAGAGTTTAAGTTTCCAACACATACATCTTGAGAGATACATTTAAACTAAAGCAGCCTGAATAATTCTATAAAGAAAATCCCTCCTGTACTTTTCAGTTACCCAGGGGTACCTTATAAGAGATAATACCAGGGGTATTCGTATAAGGAAGACAAGATAAGTGATGGTGTATTCTTCCCACATGATCCCCAATGTGAAGTCAGTGGGTGAGTTCACTTATTCATCAACTGCAACCAAGTAATAGCACTGTGAACTCAAGGGTCAAAGCCTATCAATTTGTTTCTACTCTCTGGAGATGCTACTCTACTGACTATTCAGTATCACTCTGAGTCCTGGGTTGTCCTCATGTGCTCTGCTGCCCTCTGATCCATGTGCTGCCCTTCTGAGGCCTTTCAGCTTCTCCCTTGCCCCTGTGAATGGAGGAAGGTTTGAGGGTCACTGTCCTACAGCTGAAGTTACTCCTTCCTAACAGAAGCCATCGGGTTTCTGGATGGAGCAGGGAAGTCTTTGAAGGTAGAATCATCTCAGGTTTATACTGTCACTTCCAGTTCATAGCAAAAACTATAATTTCTTAGACCTTCTCTGCTTGTTTCTCCTCAGCCTAGAATTCTGGTTGTCAGCACCCAGATTTGATAGAGTAAGAAATCACACATGGATTGTGTGTGATATACCCCAGTGAACACTGTGTACTGAGTGTGTTTGTTGTATTTGCGTTGTGTTTGCTTTTGTTTTTTGTTGTGTTTTTTTCAGCTCAAAACATTTAATGTAAGAAAACTCTAGAAGAAAGTACCAGAAGTAAGCAAGTGATAGCATTAGGATGGAAATTTCTTTCTGACTATAACTAGAAGCCATCATAGGAGGGTTGGTCAAGAAAATAAATTGAACCAAATTAAAAAGTCTGTGTAACCAAAACTACTACAACTATAGTAAAATCTTCATATGCACTTGAGTACCCAAGATACTCACATTGAGTGTGGTCACCAAGTAAACTGATGGTGGCCCCAGCAGAGCCCTGTGGACCAGTCCTGCAGCTTCTGGTGTGGAACTGGTTGCTCTCCTCACAGATGAGAAAGCCCCACAGTCGTGCTGGACAGTGTCAGCAGGGCTGACCCAGTGTCCTGCTCCCAGCCCCACACTCCTTGCAAGGGGCTTGTAGGATACCCTGCTGCACTTCATTGACAGGTAACACATCTTGCTTTTCCCAGTTGAGGGTTGCACCTGCTCAGCTGTCCCAAGTCTTATTCTTGGCTGTCCCCAGAGAAGCCCCTGCTACTATTTAGGACCTGCTAGAAGGTGGGCCAGGTCTCATCAGGGCCTTACCCAGGGAGCACAGCACAGAGCCTTCTGCATCAAGAAAGTCCCACCTCAGCCTTGTGCAAATCCATTAGCTTTGCTTAGCTACCTGCCAGCTCTGTGTCTGACCCTGCTCTGTGGCTCACACTGAGTTTCTTCATTGATCTCTTCTGGTGTATTGTAAGCCGTGTAACAGAAGGCAATATTCAGTAACCTTATTGACACAGAAAGCCAGGAGGAGGTTTCTGTGTGAATTGGTGATTTGGCTTATATTAGCTTTAGAAGGTTAAACTCAAGAATGACTGCCATCTCCTAAAATGTTTTCTTTTTTCTAGATGACATCCGACACCCGACACAGGTCCAGCAGACAGATTTGGCTGCAACACTTGCAGTAGGGCTTGGTTTGCCAATTCCAAAGGACAGTATAGGGAGTCTTTTATTTCCAGTTGTAGAAAGAAGACCAATGAGAGAACAACTGAGATTTTTACATCTAAATGCAATACAGCTTAGCAGATTGTTGCAGGAGAATGTTCCATCATATGAAAAAGGTAAGCCAGTTTTATAGTTTCCGACTTCCGCCAGGACTATGTGTCTCCTCTGAGCCTTGTGTTTTCCTGCTGTACTTTGATGGAGTCATCACTTTTTAATTATACATATTGTATTCATCTTTGCTATTCACCATAAGCAACACCCAGCGATACAATCATCTAAGTAGAGTGCTTTCATAAGTTTTATTAATTCAACAAGTATTTATCAAGTCTTGTTATGAACTATTAAAGCATTGACTGGTACAAGATCTCTGTGCTTATGGAATGTTCCAGAGCAAGGAGAGAAATGTCATGATAGATGATACAGGCTAGATAGTGGCAGGACTGACTAGGCAGGAGATGATACCAGGATGCACAGCTCCTCGGGTACCAGGCCCCCCCTTGTCCTAGATGAAGTGGGACAGCTGCATGGTTTCCTGTGAAGCCCAAGGCTTTTAGCCTGCATTTCAAGCACACCCAGCCAGCCTTTGAGGGCTCACCTAGGGGGAGCAGCTTCAGCACTCTGATAAGAGGTAGGTAGAGATGGCTAAGGGATGAGGGTAGGGTTTGCATTCAGGAAATATTTTGGAGGTGGCCTAGTCAGGATTGGCTGGCATGCTGGGATGTAAGGTACAAGAACAGGAAGCAACCCCAGTGTTTTCAGCAGCACAGAAAAGGGGTGACTGTGCGCTGAGGTGGACCAATCGTGGGGTAGGTTTGCAGAAGGTATCCAGAAAACCATGGGAAGAATTTCAGTTGGGCAGTGAGCAGCTGTGTTGGATACTAGTGAGAAGTGATCTGTGTTGACCAGGCTTTGGAACTGGCAATGTGAGCCCTTAGTGACTGCTGGGAGGGGACAGCTGGAGCTGAAGAAACGAAGGTGAGAAATTAAGAAAGACAAAGAGATATAATAAGGTATAGGTGGGGCCCGTGGGGCTCTGACTCATGATAGGAGGAAAATACTGCCAAGCAAATGGCCACACATTTATTTATAGTGGTAGAGATAAGGGAAGTGTAGGGGGAGGTAAAAGGGGCTGGTCTGTAACCCGAGCTAAGGTCTGCAGGACATCGTATTTGATGTTTCTCTGGTGTATTTGATGTTTCTCTGGTAAATGGGTGGGGAGGAAGATAGTCCTCTTCTCAGCCAGGCCTTGCTCTGCCACGCCCTCTTGTCGCCTGTTCTCCTGTGGAAGTGAACAAGATGCATGTTCCTTGTTCCATGTGGGGCCCTGCCTCATCTGCAGGAGGAGATGAGTTAGGTCGGGCCATGGTGGTCTACAGCACAGTGCTCCCAGCACTGGAGAGCTGGGGGAAGCCTCCTGGGGTGGGCTCCAGAGTGGGCAGAGAGGAAAGTAGTGCAAAACTGGGGGCCAGAGCAGGAGCTTCATCCCTAGGATTGAGACATTCGGGTGTTTTCGAGATAGCAGACAGGGTCCTACGAGTGTGCACCTCCCCACAGCCTCTACACTCATCTGAGTCACATGCCAGGCCCCTCACAGGCTGGCACTACTGAGGCAGGGTTTGCTGTGATATTGTCAGGCTTTCCCTGGCTGAGGTGCAGCCAGCAGGGCAAGTACGTGAGTGTCACATGTGGGAGACAAATCTGCTGATCAGGGGCAAGTGGAGCCACAGGTAGCAAGGGAGAGAGGACATCATGAGCCAGGTGTGGCCCAGTGCCCAGGAAGAAATGTTGTGCCGGGCAAGGCCTGGTCACTAACCACGTACAAGCAAGACCAGGACTGCTGTTACTTCTGGTTTGTTTTGTTTTTTTCAAAAATGATTTCATTTAAGTTTTGTAGTACCCTTTCTCCTATATTAGTAAAAATACCATTAAAAACAAAAACATAACAAAAATGTTTGCCTATTTCAGAAATGTCAGGGTATGGAGAAATCAAGTATAAGGGATGGAAGAGGGGCCAGGGCTGCTGCTGAATGGGTTCTACACCCCTTGGAGACTCCATTTATGTCAGCACAGTTCTAACAATAGGTTTCAGACCCCATATGACCTATGAACCCTTCGGACACCCAGCTCACCCTGACCACCTGGCCCTCTTGCTCTCGGCTCTGGTGGGACTGACTTTTTCTCACTTCAGGACCTTTGCACATGCTATTCCCATTGACTAGATTCTCTTCCCCAGGTTTTCACAGTTAATTCCAAAGTACCCTTTTAATTCAGCTTAGATGTCAGACGAGGCTTATGCCCACCCCACTTCAAATCTAGAACCAATTCCTCCCTACCCTAGAACTCATTATATAGTATATTTTTCTGTTGTACCATTTTCACACTTTTTAATTGCTTGTCTGTGCCTCTGTGTGTTTGTTTGTGTGGCATGGGTGTGTCTGCATGCATATATGCGAGAGAAAGAGAGAATGTGAATTTGAAAGTGTGAGGCTGGCATCTTAACTCCAGTGCTCAGAACTGCAAAGTGGGAGATCCAGCACTACACCCCACAGCTTCCAGAAGGAGTCATAGAAACATGGGCATTCGTGTCTGTGCTTCACAGCCTCTTTATGGAGTCACAGAAACATGAGGCACCCATGTCTGCATCCCAGCCCCACTGGCCACTGAGGAGAGGAAAGGAAGAGCGGCTTAGTGGCGTACTGGCCGTTGGTGCTGTAAGGTTGTGTCTACTGGCAGTAATGAGCATGGAACTGCAGGTATCTGGGCTCATGTCTGGACCTTATGCCGCTACTGGGTTGTCTGCAAGAGTTCTTTTGCTGCTGTGAGGCAAACCTGTGGCTGGGTCAGAGCTGTCAGGTTGGTGACCTGCTGACAGGCACTTCTGAATCCACCTTTCAGTGGCCCTTCCTGAGAATAAATGCATTTCAGATGCCACCAGGTCAAGGTTCTTGGTTTGCGGACCTGTGTAGTCGTGAGTAAGTGTGATCGAGGCAGGACTGAGAAACTATCTGATTCTGGAAAGGGAGGACACCAGTGCCTGGCAGCTTGCCAGAGTTTACTACAAGAGGCAGGCAGCAGCCGTGAGACCAGCCCCTTCCCAGAGCTAGGCCTCCCATGTGAGGCCATCACTGGCCTTCCTGAGCAGAGAGGGCTGGGGAGTCATCTTCCAGAGGGGACTTGAAGAAGAGGGGTTAAGGAGTCGATATGTGTGCAAGGACAGAAGGGCTAGCTGTGCGTGGAGGCAGGCGTGGTGGGGTAGGGTCCCCACACATGTGCTGTGAGGGTTGGAATGGTTCTGTACAACCAGTTGACCCAGTATGCTTCAGGATTGGTTTTATACTGCACAAGAAAAGGAAAAGTGAAAAGTGACAGTGAGAGGGTATGGAGGAGGTATGACCGGGTGAGAGGGGTAGAGAGGAGCCTGGGCCACGTAGTGGTGGATATTCCTCTCTAGTCTGTGCGTACCAAGAACCCAGGGCCTGCAAGAGCTGTGACAGACAGGCTTATTGTCAATTTTTACAGTTTTACTAATGTTTCTGCCCCTCCCTTGAACAAACTGTGCCTTGGGTATCAGTTCTAAAAATCATGCCACAGATCACCATGTGAGATCTTTCTGTTCTCCAGATCCTGGATTTGAGCAGTTTATGATGGCAGAAAGGCTCCATGGGAACTGGGTGAAGCTTCACTTAGAGGAGGATCGTTCTGGTGCATTGCTCAACCTAGGGACTAAGGTGGCCAGGCAGTACCTGGGTGCGCTGAGGACCCTGAGCCTGGCACTAAGCGTGCATGTGGCTCAGTATGACATCTACTCCATGGCAGTGGGAGTCATCATTGTTTTGGAGGTAGGAACCTTCATGTGGTGGGGCTCAGGTGTTGTACAGACTTGGCCATTCAGCCAAAATATGAGTTTGAAATATATACAATACTGAACACAGTGTTACTAAACACAGAAAACACGGGTCTTCTCACCCCCCATTGTGTGTGCAGCTGGTGACAATGCTCAAAGCAGTCCCAGTGAGTGCACCCCGTGTTGCCACAAGAGCCAAAAAATAAGCCACACTGTGTACTTTTAGTAGGCAATTAAATATCCTCTTTCTTGGGCCTCTTTTGTCCTCATTGTGTGAGCCGCTGTAATGGGGCAGGAGGCTTGGGTCATATGGACCATGCCGCACCTGGCCACCTGATTAATGCCGACATCTTCTGTTCCAGACTCTCATCCTGCTCCTCCTCAGCACCCCACAGGTGCTGCACAGAAGGGCTGAGCTAGAAATGCCACTGTCCTCTCCCCTGTTCTCTCTTCTCTTCTACCTGATGTTCCTGATCCTGTCAGCCATCCACGTGGTAGTTTGCACTTCAGCCGAGAGCTCCTGCTACCTCTGCAGTCTCCCATGGCTGGTGGCAGGGGGTGTGATGGTGCTGGTTTCTGCGCTGCTCTGTGTGATTGTATCTACACTCGCCAGGATGGTCATGGACAGCACTTCCCTCTGGAAGGTACAGCAGGTGTGGACTGTTGTTACACCAGCCCACTTTCATTCCTTTGATGTGGTTGAACACCTGGTATGCACTTCACAGGGAATTGTGGAGTAGGACCTTGGCTGCCCATCCCAGGCCACTGGGCACCTGGGCCCCAGATTCTGGTGTGGTGGTTAGGCCATGTGCGCCTGCTCTCAGCAGGAAGGAAAGTTCTAGGAGGAGAGTAGAAGGGGCATCAGGGTTGCTAGCCCCAGAAGACAGGCTCATGTTGGCCTGAGTCTCACAGAGAGCATGTGAGCTGCAACCAAGGGCACGGTCCACTGGTGGGCACTCAGGATGCTCCGGAACACTTGGTCTGCTGTGCTTCTGTGTCCCCAAATGCAGCTTTTTGAATTCTGAGTCTCTAGCTGGGCTCCTTTGTTCATTAGCTGGGAGGCAGGGGCAGGGCAGAGAGGTGGACAGCTACTGTCGGGTCCACAGCGTCCAGAGCACCCTGAGGATGGAGGGACCCTGTGCAGAGACTCCAGCCCCCACTGTGCAGTTCCCACCACACCTCATAGGGCCTTCAGAGACCACCTGCTGGGAGATATATGTGGGCACTCAGATTGTGTACATCTACACCTCTCAGGCCTAGCTGGGTTCATGCTACCTCTATTCCTGGTACCTTGCAACACACAAGTAATAGATATCAAAGAATAAATGACAGCAATCGAGTCACATCTTGAGCTATTTAAAATAAGAACATTAAAGGGAAAGGACTGCAATGCCACTTTTGTCATTTCAAACAGATGTAACTGTTAATAGTGGAAACTAGAGTTCTAGAAACTCATGAACAAGTTTTCTGTCAGTGCATCTGGGGGATGTGTTGGGCCTTCAGTTTCGAACAGTAGGAACTGGCATGGGAGGAGGGCTGGCAGGGTTCCTGGCAAGTGCCTGGGCTCAGCGCTACCTAGAGGACCCAACCATCTTGGTCTTTGCCACTCTGGCTAGGGTGAGGGTGGCACAGGAGGAGGAACTCCTGGGGAAGTCTGGGCACGGCTCATGAAAGCACCTAGGGCTTGTCACAGGGGTAGTCACTCTAAGCAAGGAAATTATCACATGCAGTGAGCATGTGCCATTTTCAGATCACCCCTAAGAGGATGCATTTCTTCCTTACAGAGTGCAGCCCACCCCTGCTCAGGATGGTCAGAGGTGGGCCTCCTTCTCCTGCTGGGTACAGTGGGCCATGTTCTGAGTCTGGGAGCCAGCAGCTTTGTGGAAGAGGAACACCAGACCTGGTACTTCCTGGTCAACACACTTTGTCTGGCTCTGAGTCAGGAAACCTGCAGAAGCTACTTCCTGGGAGATGACAGCGAGCTTCAGCGCTGCTTCCACACACAGCCAGGGACTGTGGGTGCCAACTGCATGCAACAGGCCTGCACAGCCTGTGAAGCCTCCAAGCCTGGCCAGGCGAGTAAAGGGCTCCCCTCTGGAGCACGCGGAGGCCACACACGCTGGGCGGTGCTAGCTGGGCCATGGCTGGTACTGGCCTGCTGCCGACTGCTGCGGTCCCTGAACCACACAGGGGTCCAGGGAGCCCACCGGCCGGATCTCGGCCATTGGCTCACCAGGTGAGCACAACCCCAGCAGGCTGACCCCACTGCTCAGTTCACATAACAGTCTTCTTCAAATATACTTAGGCCAGGTTTCTGCGCTGAGAATAGGGTAATATTTGAGATCTGAAAAATGGAGGAAGTTATCACTGGAGTGGCTGTGTCTGCACATCCCCTGGGGAGTGAATGTGGGCCACCTGCACCCTGCACTTCTGTGCTGCAGGTCAGACCTGTCCTGGTGCAGGGGTAGGAGTTTGTACCTCCTGGCACCTGCCCACTCCCCCAAAGTTGTCTGCCTGACCCTCTACAGTGGCACATGACCATCCAGAGTGCCTAAAATGTACATGCGGCTTAAAGCTCAGTAGCAAATGAATGCCCACATCTTTTTCCAGGCCTGAGTATATGTGTTAGAATATTTAATTGTCCTTTTAACAATGATTGTCTGTGCTTGTGAATGTGAGGTATAGTGGAGAACAGGGTGCCTGGCCTTCCAGCACCCCAGACATGGCTGCGTTCTACCCCTGCACCTCCTTCACCCCAGGGGATGGTGGCTGCCTGCCAGATGTGGGGTGAGGATGCAGCAAATCCAGGGAGGTAGGGACAGGACTATGCTTCCTGCCCACCCTCCAAACCTGTCAAATTGTGAGACTTCAACACACTTATTTGTCACATTCTAAGAACTTTTGTTTAAATTTAATTAATTGACTTTTTTTTTTTCTCTCCAAGAAAATCAGCTATCTTTAATACAGTTTTTTGGAGCCCCTGGGTGTGGATTGTGTCCCATTTGGTAATAACTTTGGGATTTTCTGTCTCACTGCAGCTCTAGTCACAAAATGGAGCTCTCCTACCTGGCCGCCCTCTCCCTGCTTGTGATCTTCATGCTGGCTCAGAGGGGATGCTCCCCCATGTCCAAGGTGGCCCTCGCACTAGGGCTGCTGGGAGTCTTCTGCTATCGGGCAGCTATTGGGAATTTGCTGTTCCCGTGGCAGCCAGCCAACAAAGGTATCTCAAAGTAAGTACATTGCAGATATGTGAACTTGCTTTTATATCTGTCATTGTATTTTATGTACTGAAAAATATTATGCCTATCTTGAGAACACTGGAGTTTGGTTTTTTTGAATGGTGACTTCATCAACAGCTCCTAGAGCCTAGCTAACAAAACCATCGTGATCCCAGCTAACAAAATCTTCACTTTGTTAGCTCTTTTAGGAGAAAGACAAATAGCTGGGAAGGTCATTGAGGACTAACAAGTGATACACTGGTGTCTGAGTTAATGGCAGCTTTGCCCAGTTGTGGTGTGACTGCAGAAACTTCCTATTTCTACAAAAGTGCTTGACCTGACAGCTGTCCGGAAAATCAGCCGTCTTGAATACAGTCCTACGGAGCTTCACTGTGACCGCACAGTTGGTCACCCCACGGTTGGTAGATGACTATTTTACTCTTCATTTTTTGCAACTATAAATGATGCTCAGTGAACGTGCTGCATATGTACTGAGGAGAATGGTTCAAGTCAGGCAGAGGTAAGAGATTAACAGCGTGTGAGCAGGCACGTACTTCTTTTCTAACTGCTAGGGAAAGGTGGTAAAGATGGATGGTAGAGGTGGGTGCTCCCTAGCAGTTGGAAAGGAAGGCAGGTGTCCCATAGAGTACATTGTGCTCCTGTGTGGCCAGGAGCTCCATGCTGCACGAGCCAGGAGGGCTCAGTCACAAATCTGTCTCTGTGTGTCAAGTGTCCACTCTTCTGTTTGAGGGCAACATGGTAGAGCAGACTACCTCCAACTCCTGGAGGCAGCTGGACAGGTGGCACAGTGTAAGAACACTCCAATCCTCTCACCTGTGTCCTGAGGACATGGCAGGGGGCACCAGGATTGACCCATTGGTTGCCAGTAGAAGGGATGACTTGAAATGGAGAAGAGAGCATGTGTAAAATGCAGGCTGCCACAGATGCCTGCTCACACGCTGTTAATCTCTCACCTCTGCCTGACTTGAAGTATTTCTTCAGTGTAACCACATTCTCCTCAGTAGATACGCAGCATATTCACTGAGCATCATTTATAGTTGCCAAAAATGAAGAGTAAAACAGTCGTCCCCCGTTGTGGGGTGACCAACTGTGCAGTCATGGCGAAGCTCCGTAGAACTGTATTAAAGGTAGCTGATTTTCCAGACAGTAATCAGTCAAGCATTTTTGTAGAAATAGGAGAACATTGTAGAGAGGTGGCGGGGGTGGGGGTAAAACCATTGTACCATCCCAGCTTACCAAGTCAGTTTAATTTTTCATATTTGTATTAAGGGCTAAATAAAATATTGGTGATTATGCAGTATTTAGGACTCGAGGTCATAGGTGGTTGTGGTCTTCCTTTTTACTATTTATTTTGGCACATTACATGTGTCCAGAATTAGTGAGTAAAACAGAAGGTCTAGGTGGGAGCCAAGGGATACAGCCAGGCTGTGGGCTCGGGGGCACCAGGAAGCACCTGCTGAGGCAGGAGGCCAGAGTGGGTGGAGGACGATAGGCTCAGAGGTGTGGAGCACACTGTGGAGACGTCTCAGAAACTGTCTCCTTCAGACTGCATGTTTTATCTGGGGTGTTCGTGTCATCACATACTGCAGCATGTAAACAAACCCTCGTCTCCGCCCCACCTGTGCACTGTCTCCAGGCTTTGGTCATCTCCCTTGTCTGATTGCCTTGCTACAGCATGTTGTCTGCGGTGTCCAGAGACAGCTGTTTGCCTTTTCTCTCACTGAGTCTGCTTGTTCACCTTCCTCTTAGGAAACGCTTCCATCTCTTACCCCTGACTATCCTGTCTAAATATTTCCTTTTTCTGGATCTGCTGCGATTCTGGGTTCATACTTCTGGAGTCCTTGTAGTCTGTGGTTCTCACCCATGTGGGTCCCCCTTCTCCAAGCATGTGGGGCCTGCCCTTGGCACTCATCCCAGCACACACCTGGCCTGCAGGGCTGCCAGCTCCCTGACCCCATTTCCCCAGTGAGTGTCACATAGGCACACAGAGCCCACTGTGTTAAAATTAGACTGATCATACTGGAAAAGGGATTTTTTTAAAAATATATAAACCCTTCTAAGAATATCTGATATATAAAAACTCATTTTTCAAAACATATGTTATATTAATATTTTTAAATTTACTTAATGTTTTAAATGGTGTCTTGCAATGTACATAAAATACCATATAAAGTCTATTTTAAAAATTATGTTTTAGGCCGGGCATGGTGGCTCACGCCTATAATCCCAGCACCTGGGAGGCTGAGGCAGAAGGATCACTGTGAGTTCGAGACCAACCTGGGCTACATAGTGAGTTCCAGGTCAGTCTCAACAACATAGTGAGACCCTGTCTCAAAAAAACAAATAAATATATATATATATATAATGTTTTAAGAATATATGTGCTTTGTAAAATGAAGTTCTTGGGTCTAACACCATAGATTGTATCTTTTACTGACTTAAATGAAGTACTGAAATAGTTAACTCATAAAAGTACTTAATGCTGAATATTCAGTGTCCCAAACAATGCACATTCCCTGTTTAGTCCCTCTGACAGCCATGTGAGGTATAGATATCATTTTTCATTGTTTTCACAAATAACAAAGCTGAGTATCAGAAGTGTTAACTTCCCAATGGCAAAGCTGGACACAGGACCCAGACTGAACATTTGTGAGTGCATCCTTTCTGAGTCTTCTTGACTGTGAACATGCTCATAATCACCATTTATGAACAAATGGGAGTTTCTGAGAGTGGGGCTGTATACCAGGGCAGCGGCTTTTAACTGTACCAGGCAGGCGGGTGACTTTCCTGGTATGCCCACAGGAGTGAGACACACCCAAAGCCGACTCCGTCGAGAAGGCGCACACAGGACAGGCTACTGGTCTTGCAGGTCGGGGGAATAAAAGGTGACAACCGCAGTGGGAGGGTGCCACCATATGGTTAGTTAGCTATGCTGGCACACTTAGCCATTCTCTAATTAGACACGTGTTTTTCATGGGAAAATATATATTTGGTGCAAATGAGTCTAACTTGTTTTGCTTTTTTTTAGGGGTATTCTTGAAGCTCGTTTTGTTTATGTCTTTGTCCTTGGCATTCTGTTCACGGGCACCAAAGACTTGCTTAAATCTCAAGTCATTGCTACAGACTTCAAAGTCAAGACTGTAGGTTTGTGGGAGCTATATACTGGATTAGTTCTTCTGGCAGCCTTGCTCTTAAGACCACATAATCATCCGGTGTTAGCATTTAGCCTCTTGATCCAGACCATCATGACTAAATTCATCTGGAAGCCCCTGAGACACGATGTAGCTGAGATCACTGTAATGCATTATTGGTTCGGTCAAGCATTCTTCTATTTTCAGGTAGGTTTTATTATCATGGATAGAAAACTTTACTTTTTTCTATATCTTGGTTTTTGTTTGAGAACATTTTAGAAGTTGGAAAGTGGTACTTGTTTAGTGAGAACTGTCAGTATGTGTGGTGAACTACACTTAAACTTCTGTTTTTGTAAGATAAACCACAGTTACTTAAAGAAGACATCCTTAGTGTAGATTTGTGGGTATGCATGACAGCTGATTGTTGCTCTTCAGGATCAGGTGGGAATTTAGTTACGAGGAGAAGTTCAGAAAACATGTCGAGTCTTCTGCTTGCTTATTGTATAAATGTAGTCATTGTACTTCTTTATGCTTTCATCCTGGTGTCAGGGCTGTCCACACTGAGGACCAGTATCCCCATGTAACTGTTAGTCCACTGGGGCCTCGAAGAATGGAAGGGCTTCTCTATTTAAAGACCCGTTACATGCAGGCCTGAGACTACTTGACTGTGTGCAGACACATTTGGACGGTTGTCCCACAACCTCCTGATGTCCCCAGGGTACGTAGGTCGCTGCAGACCCCTCCAACCCAACTCCTTGGCTGAGAGACTAAATCACCACAGGACACCTGTTCTGTCTCCTCTGTACACCAGCTTCCACCTCTCTGCCCAGTCCCGGGATCTCAACCAACCATGTCCCAGCAGGGCTTTATCCCTGTATTCCTTCTGCATTCCTGGTTTCTTGTGTCCCGAGTTGTATGGCTTGTCTTGTGGTGAATGAGTTGGAGAAACCCACCAGTCCTCCATAGCATGGCCAGATTAAGACCAGCCCATGGCTTCATCTCCCAGCTCTCAGCCTTGGTCTCCTCAAGGAACCTAGGGTGGCATCAGCATGCAGTATCCCACAGAACACAGGAAACCTTCCCTCAGGGAGCTTCTGTCAAGTGTGTGCTCTGCCTCAGTTCCTCATCCGTAAACTAGAGACAAGTACCATTGTCCTAGGCTGCGATGAGCCAGGAGCCTGGTGGAATCTGCCTTACCCTTCTCTCACCACTTCCTGCGTTCCCCTCCCTACCCAACCTTCACTGTCCTAGGTCCCCCATCCTAGCTCTCCCTGTCCTCCCCTTTCCCCATCCTAACTCTCCTGGCTTCTCCCCGTTTTCCCCTCCCATTTATCTTAGATCTCGCATTTGTGTGTTCTTGTCCTCTCCGTTTGTGCCTCTCCCCATCCTCCTGTGTCTTTGACCTAGCTCTCCCTGTCCGCTGGTTGAGTCTCTTTCCCTTCACTCTCAGGTCTGGGAGAAGAGTGCTGGCCTTGCTGCCCTCAGCTCTGCATTTCCTTGACAGCATGGGGGTCAGGAACTTGGGTGCTCTCTTTTGCTGGCCCTCCATTGCACTGAATCCCCCATCTTTGTGCCTCAGTCTCCTTCCTGTACACCAGGGGCAATGGTGTGCCATGTCACATGGTTGACAACAGTGAGTTAATTTGGTCAGTGTCAGGATGGTGGTGCGTGTTGCCCCACTGCTGACCATGTGGTTGGCCCTCCATTCTGTTGACTCTGTTCCAGGGTCACCATCTGCTCCAGGAACAGACCCACCTCCATCTCCCCCAGGCCCTGACCTGGCACCTCCCACTGAGGCCAGCCTCCTGCTGTCCTCAGGCAAGGCTGCGCCAGGGAGATAGGAACCCAGAGTGCATCAGGGCAGAGTAGATCTCAGGGAAGAGATACGGAAGAGCAGCACCCAGGGAAATGGGCTTGGTAGAACAGGAGGATGTGTGTGTCTCTGGACTTGTGCAGGTGGCAGCACCACCAAACTGTGCCCACTGGTCCCCCCGAGGGAGCAGAGTGTGAATCAGATTCAGGGGTTTACATGATGCACAGATCACCAGGCTCAACAGACTGAAGGTGGAGAGAGGTGGACCCTCAGGAGATCCTGCCATGTAAAGTGCAGGATGAGATACATCCCACAACACAGTACCTGCCAGGGCTGACCAAAAGAGCCATCCATATTTACTACAATCAGAAGTCAGTCCTCAGTAAGAGACCAGTATCTCCTGCAGTGCCAGCTCACCCTCCAAATACCCCAGCCACCAGCCAGCAGTCTCCAGCCTGGTATGCCCCCACAGAGATTGCCATGCCCAGCCAGCAGGCTGACTCTTCAGGAGGAACATTTCTGCACAAGCCACCTGGCTCCTGTGGGCCTAGAGTGGCACAGCAGGCAGGCAGATGATTCATCCTGGACCATCCCAATTACCTGGCTATGATCAGGGTATCTGGCTCCTCTGACAGTGCATTCACACCAGCGTGGTCATCTGGGCCCGTGTGTTCCACAATAATAGAGCCTCAACTGGATGTTCATGTTGATGTGCTCATCTGGCCCATGTGTCCATACTCAGGCAGTAGTGATAGATTCTGTGTGTTGTGAGGCCATCATCAGCCCTGGTCTCCTCTGTTCCAGGGCAACTCCAACAACATCGCCACCATCGACATCTCAGCAGGCTTTGTGGGCTTAGACACCTACATGGAAATTCCAGCCACATTGCTGACTGTGTTTGGGACGTATGTGGGACCCGTGCTGTGGGCTGTCCACCTGGCACATTTCCTGAGTGCAGAAGCAAGCAGGTGAGGCAGATCTGGCCTCAGCACAAATCTGGTGGAGGTTCCCATTTCCAAGAGTTATACCTTGTCCTAGATAGGGCATCTGAATTCTATGGGTCAGACAGCCTGTTCACCAGGAGTCTTCCTTAAATAAGCTCAGTGTGCAGCTCCAAGGCCTACAGCAGGTATGAGGACTCTTATGTGGGTCAGGTCACGGGGGAAGAGGATATGATCCGCTGCCTGAGCTTTTGATTGCTAGTGGTGGGGATTGGGGAGCAGGAAGACAAAGACACTAGCCAGCCCTTGGACTCAGAATGCTGCCTGACCACAGAGGCTGTTGGCTAAGTAGGGAGGTGAGGAGGGTAGCCTGGAAGCTCCTCCCCACACCTCCTGTGCTCACAGCTCCCTGCCTCCTCCTCTGGCCTTTGCACAGATGCAGCTCTCCGGGCCTTTCCTGCCTGTGCTCTCAGCAGTATTCCTGCATTCTCATTCTCTTTCTCAGTCATTAGTTTTTGTCTAGTTTCTCCCTAAAAGACAGCTTTGTGAGCAGGAACTCTATACACTGCCCAAGCAGCACCAGTGCCAGCCAGCCTGGCAGGGTAGACATGGAGTGGTAGGGGATTTTCAGTTCTATCTGTGAAAAAGGGACTTATTTACAAGCGTTTTAATCAGTGGACAGAATTAATTGGTACTTTCCCTAGTTAAGAAGTATTTCTTCACTTTACAAATGGTTTTCTCTTTCCTTTTTAAAAGCTTAAAAACTATCAAGTTTTACTCATTTCCATTTTGTTTCAGTAAAGTAAGAAAATTGTAATGAAATCCAAATTGTGCCTAGAGAAGATGTTTCCAACAGGTCAGAGTTTGTCTTTAGTCAGGATCCCAGCTGCAGGGCTGCTAGGCTGAGCTGGGCATTGTGGTTAAAAGCACAGATGGCTGTGCACCCGGTCCACTAGTAAGACTAGGAGCCCACTGGCCACTATGAGGGACTTAGCCACAGTCTTCTAGCGGATGACGTTAGTCATTGTCCACCTACATTTGGCACAGTCTGAGCAGTGGAAGCTGGGCCTCAGCACACCGACTGAGAAGGTAGCCCAGCCTCCCGTCCCCCATCTGCAGAGCTCACCCTGCGTGCTGATCTTTGACCCGGTATGGGTACAACATCCAGACAGGTGCTCTCACT